TCCCACAGTAATTATACTAGTTGGGATTGGAATCTTGCCGAAATGCATGTTTTATTTGTAGGTATCTGGATGACTGTATCAGACAATAATACCAATCCCACAGTAATTATACTAGTTGGGATTGGAATCTTAACGAAATGCATGTTTTATTTATTGTTATCTGGATGACTGTATCAGACTATAATACCAATCCCACAGTAATTATACTAGTTGGAATTGGAATCTTGCCGAAATGCATTTTTTAATTTTTGATATTTGGATGACTGTATCAGACTATAATACCAATCCCACAGTAATTATACTAGTTGGGATTGGAATCTTAACGAGATGCATGTTTTATTTATTGGTATCTGGATGACTGTATCAGACTATAATACAAATCGCACAGTAATTATACTAGTTGGGATTGGAATCTTAACGTAACCATGTTTTATTCATTGCTATCTGAATGACTGTATCAGACTATAATACCAATCCCACAGTAATTATACTAGTTGGGATTGGAATGTTAACGAAATGCATGTTTTGTTTATTGGTATCTGGATTTCTTTTCAAGAAAATGAGGGGTGGGGGGTTTCAATTAAATTTGAAGGAATTTGCTTAATTAGCATGGTATCCATTTGCTTGTAATTGCGACTGAATCATGGTCACTGATGTGAAATAGTCTGGATTTATCTTGTCTTCTGTGTGCTGTATGCAAATCAGTCTTTACTGATTGCAGAGATAAATTGACAATGTATTATTACATCAGCTATCTTGATGTGGTTAAATACATTTAAGGAAGGTTAACGGCGAATGTATTATGCAGGCCACATCCACTGAGGGGAGTCTGTGACGTCATATCAATTAAAGGGGGTTGTTTCGCGCCTTGTGATCAGTACTTCGGTCTGGGTATTCATTGTTTCATTGTCAGGGCTGCCAACTCTCCCGGATTATCCGTGAGTCTCAAGATTTTGGACCTAATCTCCCAGTCTCCAGATTTTGTCTTAATTCTCCCGGATTAGGATAATCACCAACGTCTATTTATGCACTAGCCATTTGATTCTTCGTTGTCAAAGGTTTTAACAATAAAAATTATTTGCGTTGCACATTCGTTTTGCTGGTAAAAATAAAATTCTTTCGTTGCTGCCTGCGTTGCTTTTAATCAGCGGTTGAATGGCGCTATTTTCCGTAAACACTTCATCTTACAGGGATTTTTTTACCCGTATTGACGCCATTAAAATGTCGATATTTTATTAAACTAGTACATAATATTGTGAAAGTTGAAATCAACAGTTATTCAGGCAATTTATAGTATATATAGGACTTTTTGTATGTCCAAAAAAAATTTTCACCCCTAAAATGGTACACTGACCGAAATTTTTTTGGCAACAGGGGGGGTCGCCGAAAAAAAAAATTCATATCAATTCTCCAGATTTGAAAACTTCCAGGGTTGGCAGCCCTGCATTGTATGCTTTGCCTAGCTGCAGCAAGTTTATCGCTTAGATACCTTTTCCCTACCCACCCACCCATGTTTATTCTAGAGGATTTTAGCTGGTAGTATGTCATTTTATTTTATATAATTTTTAATCTCACATAAAATAGGATGTATAGACCACTATACATTATATTTCATTTGCACTGACTTGTCAGTGTGAGCGGTGCCGGAGGTATGCCTTGGCAGAATGTCCAGAATTGTCATGGCTATCTCCTTTTGCTGCTAATATTACTGATTGTTAATCTCATTGCTACGCAGCTGCTATGGCAATACTTCATGCCATCAATTCTAGTAGTACAGCTTTGGACCACAAACGGCACCTGGCTCCAAACACTAATATTAATTCTCTGCCGTTAAACATGGTTACAATTGCCCAGACCAAATGAAAACCTGATTTTAGAGTTATATATGAAAATACCCCTCTGTTAGTCTTTTAATTATAAATTTCTGCTAATATATATTTTGGTCGACGTTATAAATATCTTGTCAGCTCCATATTCTTATTTAATTAATAATTAACATTATAACGCCTGGGTATCCCCATTTGTCGAGTAAAAATGAAAATGGGGGGGGGGGCAAAGAAAAATATTCTAGTATGTAGGGGGGGGTCGTCATTAAATTTCTGCTCTTTTAAGGAGGGGCTTTCAATTTTAAAAATTTAGTAAAGAAAAAATTCCCC